GAGAGATATCCAGTATAAATAAAGTTAGTTTAGTTTAGGTTCCTTCCTGTAGTAACACTGGATCAATAAGAGATGACTCTTACTGGACCTCTAGGAAGAACAATTTAGAACTTGGAGAGATATCCAGTATAAATAAAGTTAGTTTAGTTTAGGTTCCTTCCTGTAGTAACACTGGATCACTAACACTAGATCGGGATGACTCTTACTTGATCCTCATTCAAGAAAGACTATTTAGACATACATGTATGAATGAGGCATCCTTTCAATGTATCCAAGAAATAAAATACTTTGATTATCTGAATTTGTTTTCAGGACATTCACCTTGCCAAACGATATTATGACATGGCTGCAGAAGCAAGTCCTGATGCCCAGGCTCCGGTCACTTTGGCCTTGATGAAACTTGCTGTAATGTATGGCGTAGATTGGCTCAATAATGTAAGTTGATCATGAACATTTGTCTTGAACGTCTAGAATCGAGGATTGATTCTGCAATACGCTGATTATATTCGCGTTTCTGACATTCTGTCGCATGTGACAAGATTGTTTGAAGTTTAATTCTAGCAAGGGTCTTTCAGAATTTTCAGTTCAAGATTCTTCAGATCTCCATCTTTCCCTGTAGTAGTAACACCAGATCAGTACAAGGGATGGGCATCTAGTAAGAACAGTTTAGAACTGATGGACCTATCCAGTCTAAATAAAGTTTAGGTTTCCTCCTGTGGTAACGCTGGATCAATAAGAGATTATCTTTACTGGATTTCTTTGGACGGATCCATTTGTCATTTCCATTTCTTATTGTCTAATTCTTTTGTTTACTCTCTGTCTTTGTCAGAACTATGATTTCTGGTCACATCTTCAACTCAGTGTGGACGAACATTTGGGGAAAGATTGGGATATCTACGTCATGACTATACTGGCACTACTTGTTGGTCTGCTTATATTGTTGCGATGGAGATAGTACTGATAAACCTACTGTTGAGTGTTGACCCATGGGCGGATTTACTAGGGGGGGTTAGGGGGCGGGGGTTAACCCCCTAGAATCTCTCTAACCCCTCTAATAAGGTGTTCAACCCCACCAAAATTTCGCTTCACCCCTCCTATTTTGTGTGAAAGGCTTTAACCGAAACGCCTAACCTCTGCCGAAGCTCACTGAGTGGTGCCACTTGCACCCCACCAAAAAATTTTCTACCCCCTCCCCTTTTAAATATATGAAAATCCGCCCCTGTGTTGACCTAGAATTTCTCGTAGACAAAACATCCAGTAGAACTGTCTTGATGGGCCTTTTGCAGGAATTAAAACAAACAACAGCGCGATCCGTAAAAATAATGATTGAGTCTTTCATTCTGTTATTGTTTCAATCTATTTTTCACATTCCTGCAGAAGGGTTTACTCGAAAGTGATGTGAAGTACCACAAAAACACAACACGTAATTAGATCTGTAAGTTGGGACTAATTTATTTCGGCACCAAAATCTAATTTTTCACCGTAGGCAAAACTAACATCTTATCGTCCCCCCTCCCTGACTCACCAAAACTTGAGAGTGTTTTTTAGTTTGTTATGTAGCAAACAGAACCGTAACCTGTTCCATAAGGCAATGTTACACGGAACAATTTTTGACGACGATTCTTACACAACGTACTGCCGAACCAATCAAATTTCGGTTATTGTGAATCGTCGCTGAATATTGTTCCATGTAACATCGCTTTTCAGCATGAGCGGGACAGGTATGAAACTAGAAGCATGCACAGTGCGTTTGTAAAGCTTGTATAAAGATTTCCATATTGCATTTTACCGCAAAATCTTGTATTGATAATTTTATAAAAGTGTAGCTCAACCAGTTAATATTGTGATGAAAAATTTCACTGAAATTATTTATTAAAAGACTTTGTCTGAAATATGAAATATGAAATTGTATTATATGTATATATGTATCACTATACCAAGCCTCTTTGAAGCCCCTCTCTGATAACCCCCTCCTTACTCAGCCCCTCCCAAACCCACCCCCTACTTCACATCAATCTGACGTATACGAAAGAGCGTATGTATACACATACATATATAATTTTGTTTATCACGTATTGCAAGCTGATTGCAAGCTGATTGCAAGCAAGCTTAAATTCTTTTCTTTGAAAATTTGCAACGTGTGTAAATTGTTTTAATTCCATGGCGCTCAAAAAGAATTAGTCATATCCCAGTGGGAAATCAAACCAATTAAAGCTGTCAAATTGCACCAATCAGAGGCAGAGAATTTGCTGACCAATCAGATTCGCATAGTCGCATGCGAGCCAAGTTCGAAGCATATAACTTGGAGCGAGCGTGAAGACGCCCAGTTGTAGTCAAGTCTTGACAAAAGATAGTTGTATTGAAAGTTTATTGAAAGTTTAAGAAGAACTCGCAAAAACTCGGAAGAACTTACAAGAAATTATCCAGAAATTGCTCTCAAAGCACGTATATAAAGGTAATTTACAGTAAGCGTTCAACTAAATGCTTATGCATGGACATTTCAATACATTTTGTTGAAATTGAATGGAATATATTAGCAATAGTCGGTCGTCGGTTTGGCTTCAAATTTTAGCGATATATTGCATCAATTGTGCTTCAATAATGACTTTTAATAGTTCCAGGTAACTCACGTTTGTATTTTCTTTCGCTTTAGAACGAATTTGGGCAAGAAAAAGCAGGAAATTTTGGCGATTCCTAGCCACGTGTTTAGGTACGTATCGACAGTGAATATTTTAATAGTGAACTTGTTTGTGCGAATTTATTGCGTATAATGTTGAGATAAAATGTTTGTGGGCAAACCTAAAGGATCCAAAGCTCCCGAAATCCCTTCTGGCTTGTCTCCTTCGAATTTTCATCAAATTTTGTCCAAGAAAAGGTTCAATTTGCCGCACTTACCGCGTATTCAAAATTGCTCGACTTCAAAATTCATACCATGCAGCGAAGAACATTTGCCATTTGGGTATACTATTTAAATTTCGCTGAATTGTCATGAGGAGTTTCTTTCATTTTGAAGCAACAAAATATTCGCCGGTTTTGCTCCAAATTTTAGCGATAAATCCCATCAATTGTGCTTCAGTAATGACTTTAATAGTTCCAGGTAACTCATGTTTCTATTTTCTTTCGCTTTAGAACGAATTTGGGCAAGAAAAAGCAGGACATTTTGACGATTCCTAGCCACGTGTTTGGGTACGTATCGACAGTGAATATTTTAATAGTGAACTTGTTTGTGCGAATTTGTTGCGCTTAATGTTGAGATAAAACGTTTAATGTTGAGATAAAACGCTTGTGTGCAAACTTAAAGCATCCGAAGCTCCCGAAATCCTGTCTCCTTCGAAAACTTTTCATCAAATATTGCCAAAGAAAAGGGTGCCGCACTGAACGCGTATTCAAAATTGCTCGACTTCAAAATTCATTCCAGCGAAGAACATTTGCCATTTGGGAATACTATTTAAATTTTGCTGAATTGTCATGAGGAGTTTCTTTCTTCGTGAAGCAACAAAATTAAAGCACAACCACATAACATGATTATACAGCACATTCGTTCGAAATTCCTGGCACGAACTATCTTAGTCGAAAAGACCAATTTTGCAGAAAGATTTTGAAGAACAATTTTATACTGTACCAACGCAGTTTGGTCTTGAGATTTAAGTTCAAACACAAAATTTTAAGACTATTAAACTTGTTCCAAAGTTGATCCTGTTGTATATACATGCTTTAGAACTGCTATAATAAACTAGAACTCAATCGCCATTGACAGGTGTAAGCATTTTATTTTTCGATTTTTGAAGAGAAACTTGATGTAATGAGTTGAAGTGAGATTCCAAAGACAAATTCAGAACAAAACTGTTTCAGAATTCAAAGTTAACTGTTTGAGGCCAGGTTTGAGGCTTTGTTGCAATGATGGTATACAGGGTGTATAAAAAAAACGCAACCTCGGAATTTCCCAAGAAATCGACAGTGTTTTAAAGACAAAAGATTTTAGGCGCCTGGGAATTTAAAATAGCACAACTGCCAAAATTACTGCACACGCGAGTGCATAAAGCAAAACTTATGCATTTATTTAATGCACAACAACAGTAATATGATCTATTAGCAATTCGATTTTAATTCCCAGGGGCCTAAAATCTTTTATGCTTAAGAATTGCAAAGTGATTTCTTAGGAAATTCCGAGGTTGCGGTTTTTTTTATACACCCTGTATATCAGAACATTTCTCAACAAGAATATTCATGTGCGTCTCTTCTCCGTGTGCACAAATTCACAAGGGCAAAAGGTTTTGAGGAAAGGTTTTCGCACAGACGTTATATCTCGACTTCTTTGATGCAACAGTGAGATAGTCTCATTGGCGCGGCATGCGATGCAAATGGCGCGACTCCGCGACCAAATGGCGCGACTCGTAAAAGCCATTTTTCGAGAGTCGCGCCATTTAGTCGCGCGTCGCGCCATTAAACATTAGACTATCTCTGCAACAGTCGAGGCATCGTGTATTATATATATAGTTCTTGCGCCAGTTTCTTACCAAGTTTTCATTTTCTAAATTTTAGAAAGAATTCGCAATGTCGAGCGAAAGGTGCTAGGACTTAGGTCATTTTCTGAATGCGCGCAAATACGAAATAATTGAAAAAAAAAATGCGAATGCCATTTTAAGGGCAAGGACTTAGATGAAAACCTGTAGGACTTCAGTAAAGTAAGGGCATGGAGATTATTTCATCATTGTGCATGGTTGACCTTCTGTGTAAAGTCTGAATGCTGTTGAAGTTTCAGCAGTGCTCTTGAAGTAGGAATCTCTGTGAACACTCCAGTGATTTCACAGCTCAGTTGCCCGCACTGGAGCATGCGTGGAACGTTCGACTGTGGTGTTGATTTTCCCGGGTGTCAGTTGCGTGCGTGTCGGGGATGGCGCCGTCCTCCCACGTACTTGTCCTTGGACCCAACTGACATGCGCGGAGAATCAACACCACAGCCGAACGTTCGGCGCATGCTCCAGTGCGAGCAACTGAACTGTGAAGTCACTGGAGTGTTCACAAAGGCTCGCACTTCAAGAGCTCAGCTGAAACTTCAACAGTATTGAGAGTTTGGGCAGAAAGTCAGTCGTGTACACTGATAGAATGATTGAAATAAACTTGCTTGGCTGAAGTCTTACTGGTTTGAGTCTTTCGAGATGTCCTTTTTTTTGCATTTGCATTCGTTCCCAGACCTTGCTATACGCTTACGGTCAACTCGTTACCAGACCTTGCTACATGCTCACGGTCAATTTGTTTCCAGACCTAGCTATATGCTCACGGTCCACTCTTTACAAGACCTAGCTATATGCTCACGGTCAATTCGTTACCAGACCTTGCTATATGCTCACGGTCAATTCGTTACCAGACCTTGCTATATGCTCACGGTCAATTCATTACCTGACCTTGCTATATGCTCACGGTCAACTTGTTACCAGACCTTGCTATATGCTCACGGTCAATTTGTTACCAGACCTTGCTATATGCTCACGGTCAATTCGTTAGCAGACCTTGCTATAAGCTCACGGTCAACTCGTTACCAGACCTTGCTATATGCTCACGGTCAACTTGTTACCAGACCTTGCTATATGCTCACGGTCAACTTGTTACCAGACCTTGCTATATGCTCACGGTCAACTGGTTACCAGACCTTGCTATATGCTCACGGTCAATTCTTTACCAGACCTTGCTATATGCTTACGGTCAACTCGTTACCAGACCTTGCTATATGCTCACGGTCAACTGGTTACCAGACCTTGCTATATGCTCACGGTCAACTGGTTACCAGACCTTGCTATATGCTCACAGTCAATTCGTTACTAGACCTAGCCATATGCTCACGGTCAATTCATTACCAGACCTTGCTATATGCTCACGGTCAAGTCCTATACTCTGTAACAGACATATGAGTCGCATCTTATTACAATTGACCTAAAGGGAACATTTTCGCTAGCTGTTTGGCATTTCATAACTAAAATTATTCATGAATTATTTGATGCTAGACATTGTACACTCTCCTGTTAAACTGCCTTGATTTTCCAATTTTCGGATTACAGCCTAAGTTTTTCCAACCCTGGTATTGAATTTCACTGTTTGTTCCGAACAATGAGTAAATACAACTGATTAACGGGCCCGTCTTTTGTATTTTCTGTATGTTTGAAACAATAGCTAGGCAAAATATTGGCTCTCTGAGCGTTAAAAACACGTAGAAGTGAGACAATTACTACTGCAAGAAGTTTACAGTTGAGTGTCATCTTGTCTGCATCTGTTTCAAATTAAAAAAACATGCAAGCATTCATGAATTTCTGGCTTGCATTTACTTAAAAAATATAATTCTCGGATTTAGTTTTATGCAAGTGATGATACATGAAGAAAAACCTTGCAATATCTGTCGGTTTAACTCCGCAATAATATAAGAAAACGTCCAAAAAAATTTCTTGTGCAACAATTCATGAAAAAGTTGCAATTAACCGATTGTTTTTCGATCCCAATATTTGAACAAAAATGTGAGAAATTTCGTATTTGCGCACTGAAAGGGAATGCCTTAGGGAATACCTTTATAAACAATTTACGTTCTTCATGGTCTAAAGACACAATGATGCAAAGCTGCAAACAGACGTAAGCTATAACAAAGATAACATAGACAGACACGAAAATAAATTGAGACTGCTTACTGGACATTGAAGTTTTCCATGTCCTCAACCAAGTTCTCGTAATCTGGTACCGATATGTGTAACAAATCATCGATGGTGTAAAGATACAATGATGAATACTTGCAAATATTAAGCTGGACCATACTGGACCAACTCGCAATATCAGCTGATCTCACAACTGGATGAACCTGCAACATTGACGACGGATTTACTTGGATCAACGTGTACTACAAATCGGATTATGCTGGATTTATCGACGATTTCAAGTTGAGGATTAACGGAGCTACCCTACCTACATTGAGATACGACGACATCAATACATCACGGGCTGTAAAGATGCGACGACAGATGAAGAGGAAGTCTAAAAACTCTCAGGTTCATACTATAGGTACTATAGGTACTGTAGTTCAATCTCGTGTCCAGAACTCGTAGACAAGTAGTGCATGACTAATATCGGTTATTGTTCTGGATTCGAGATCTCCTGGTGGTATCCGTCGGAAGTATTTACACATTCGAGTCATTTTACCCTTTTGGTTGTGAACATGTTAAATTTTCTGTATCTGTGAAAATAGTCGTATACTGTTGAGCAAATATTCAGCTCTAATCCTTTGCAGCACGTAAGTCAAACGATGTTACAGAAAGTCTGCATTGGTGAACAGTAGTTTATCTTTTCGTTGTCGTTACTTGTGAAAATTTCCCTCCGGTTGTCACTCGTGTGTAAATACAAACGGTGTCGCGCATAAGATGGTCAGTGCATGACTTATCGAAACGTTACGTTTAACAGAGTAGGTGCATGATCTATCGCAAATTGAGGCATAATTTAGGTGCATGGTTTTTGTGCATGTTGCATGATTAAAATACTACTTTCACGTTTCGAGATAAGGCGCGAAAGGATTGCGTTTTCTACTTTCCTTTGCGCGAAAAATAAAATAAACAATATGATTGGGTAGCGACAGAAATTTGCGACGAAAAAGTAGGATTGATTTCAACTTTTTTACTGCGAATTTTATCACCAATCAGTCGTGTTGCTTTTCCTTTGCGCAAAAAAATATCGCTCAGTAGAAAACAAGTTGAAGATGCTGCAGCGAATTTCGACCGCGCATAGAGGTTGACGTTCAGTTTCCGAGTTGGAAGCCGACGGTAATTCTTTAAAAGCGGCGTGCGCATGGCCACCAGGACCGTCTGATCAAACGGAAGCAATAGCTGCACTTTTTCGAGGATGAAATTGTTTTGCAAAAATATTCGCATTTTACATGGCTATTCTTGCAGTTGGTCAGACGAATATTATCATAGAGTGCGCTTTTGGTCAACTTGTGCTCCAAAACATATTTTCACTTAGGATATCTAATCTGAAACTGTCTAGGAGTATACAAGTTATGCGCCGTGAACAGCTAACATCTTCAATTTGAAAAAAGTGCTGTTGGCGTCAAGTGCCATATTCCGGTTAATTCTGCACCCAACGGGATTTTCATTCTATATACGATTTAGTTCTCTATATGGAATGTGTCTCTGGGGTCATGGCGCACTGTTCGTTAAAGATTTTTATTTGGTAAAAATCTTTTCCGGAGTGGAGTTCGCACGGTCTGAATTAGGTGAACTTGCAACGAGACAATGAAAAACGACAACCATATATCTTCCTAATATTTCGGCCGACAACGACATTAGTGCATGATTTTCGGATCATTCAGACCGTTAAAGCAAGCATCGACTGCACGCAAACTTCGAGAACAAAGCAATGTAAAGCGGTGTAACTTAAAGCTGCTGCATCAGCAGCGACGAAAATTTGAATGGTGACAGGTTGAAATACGCAAACGCACAGCTTCAGATTCGTATGGCACTTAACCTTCAATTTATTTTGATTCTGAAGAAACATAAATTGTGTTCTAACTTTAGAATGAAGTTTGTTGAAGTTACATGCGCGCAAGAACGACATTTATAAAATGTTTGCTCTTCAAAAGGATTAAATGGGGGAGTAGACTGACATTTTTTTTGACATAACTGACGTTGCGCGCTTCCTCCCATTTAAACCTTCAAAATTATGGCGATTCTTCCGACGTGTTGTTTTTTATCCAAATTTTGGAGGTATGTATATTTATATATTTTAATCAAGGGTAGTTTGTAAATAGATGGGGGACCCATTTCGGATCTTCGGTATGTTTCAAATCTAAAACGATCAAAATTCGGACAATTTCGGTTGGAGGGTTTTTCTCCGGGAGCTCCGGTTTCCCTCCTTTTCGTTTGTCTTCAAAAAACAGTGTCCATGTCTGGGGCCAAACTTCCATTTCAACCCAACAAGTATACATATCTACCTATATGAGCACGTCTGTGATTGGTTTTCTGCAACAAAAGTGATCGATCAGTGTTTAGGACTAGTTCTTTACAAATATGATTTCTATATTTTTAATTGTCATGTTCGACCAATCGCAAAACCTATTTATATAAGTAGATACTGTGACCCCGTTTCCACGCATGTTTGTGTTTCTTGAGCAACTAAGTTGGAACTGATATTGCAACAGAAAGAAAACGGTGGATTACAGGGAGAACGGGCTTTAAGACTCGTTTCCCCCACATCCCAAAAACCAACTCGAAATCTCAGTGAGCTTGCCAGTTGACTCCTCAATAGAATGGAAAATTGACTAATTGTGAACTATAGATAAAAAGTCTCGACATTACGTTTCGTTGTTTGTTTTCTAAAGCCTCGTTCTTTTCCAAAGTGCAACCAGTAACGCAGTGTTTCCTTCTACAATGTCATCAGTTTTGTTGTTCAAGTTTTCCCCTGCATGCATGCTTCAAACAGAAAGAGTTTTTGAAATTCCAAATCTCCCTCCGCATCACTTTTGTATGTTTGGCCTCTGGGTTAAATTCCCAGAACACTGCTATAACCTCAAAAATATCGTTATCCTCTTTCGTGCAGAAATATATTTACTTGCACGGCTCCAATCACAACGCTATACCCGAAACCTTACGATATGACATGAAATGTGTAAAGTAATTAATCAACCTCCACTTCAACCTCGCTTATAAAAAGCCTTTAAAATTTCTGGAGAAAACATAAGGGGACCAGCCTTCACTTTTTCAAAAAAATTTTCTCGCTTTTGAGAGCCGCTACACATTTTGGTTATTCTTTGCGACTTTTCAGTTTTTGAAAATTTCTCTAAAAATTGTAAAGTACCTTGGTTACTTTAGTAACGGTAGCGAAAAATTAAACTTATTTTTGTCCATTTTTCTCATTTATTTTGCCCATTTTTTTCTCACTTCGTTTGTAATTGTCCATTTTTTCTCACTTAGTTGTCTATTTTACAAGGGGTTAGCGTTTACTTTTAATTCACTTTTTTCTAACTTTTCTCTCCAAGTTTACTTACTTTTTTCTCCAAGTTTTCTCACCTTTCTCTCCAAGTTTTCTTACTTTTCTCTCCAAGTTTTCTTCCTTTTCTCTCCAAGTTTTCTAACTTTTCTCTCCAAGTTTTCTTACTTTTCTCTCCAAGTTTTCTTACTTTTCTCTCCAAGTTTTCTCACTTTTCTCTCCAAGTTTTCTCACTTTTCTCTCCAAGTTTTCTTACTTTTCTCCCCAGGTTTTCTCACTTTTCTCTGCAGGTTTCCTTACTTTTTCTCTCCAAGTTTTCTCACTTTCTCTCCACGTCTTCTCATTTTTTCTCTCCACGTTTTATCACTTTTTCTCTCCATTTTTTCTCACTTTTCTCTCCAACTTTTCTCACCTTTCTCTCCAAGTTTTCTCACTTTCCTCTCCAAGTTTTGTCACTTTACCCTTACTTTTTCAGTCATTTTTAAACGGGTTTTTAATTTAGAACCAAAAAAAATAGCGAAAAAGTAAAGACTAACACCCTTACTTTTTCAGTTCTTTTTCACCAGGTTTTTAATATACTTTGAAAAGTAAAAAAAAAAAAATGGCGAAAAAGCAAGGCTAACTACTTACTTTTTCAGCCATAATTAACCGGGTTTTTATAATTTCAGTTGCTAGTTATATTGAAATAACGGAAATATAGTTTGGGAAGACTTATATAGACTACTCACAACACTCAAGAATCTTGTCCTTACTGTTCCCAAGAACCTTGTCCTCACAACACTCAAGAACCTTGTCCTCACAACACTCAAGAACCTTCTCCTCACAACACTCAAGAACGAGTTTTCGGGAAGAAAACTTGGGAAGAAAACTTGGAGAGAAAACGTGGAGAGAAAACTTCGGGAGGAAACTTGGAGAGAAAACGTGGAGGGAAAAGTAAGAAAACTTGGAGAGAAAAGTGAGAAAACGTGGAGAAAAAGTGAGAAAACTTCGGGAGGAAACTTTGAGAGAAAAGTGAGAAAACGTGGAGAGAAAAGTGAGAAAACTTCGGGAGAAAACTTGGAGAGAAAAGTGAGAAAACTTGGAGAGAAAGGTGAAAAAACATGGAGAAAAAAATGAGAAAACGTGGAGAGAAAAGTGAGAAAACGTGGAGAGAAAAGTAAGTAAACTTGGAGAGAAAACTTGGAGAGAAAAGTGAGAAAACGTGGAGAGAAAAGTAAGTAAACTTGGAGAGAAAACTTGGAGAGAAAAGTGAGAAAACGTGGAGAAAAAAGTAAGTAAAGTTGGAGAGAAAAGTGGTTAAAGTTGGAGAGAAAAGTGAGAAAACCTGGTGAGAAAGGTGAGAAAACCTGCAGAGAAATTGAAATCTTGAGTATTGTGAGGACAAGGTTCTTCTGGTGTTGTGAGGACAAGGTTCTCGAGTGTTGTGAGGACAAGGTTCTCGACTGTTGTGAGGACAACCTCACAACACTCGAGAACCTTGTCCACACAACAACCGAGAACCTTGTCCTCACAACACCAGAAGAACCTTGTCCTCACAACACCAGAAGAACCTTGTACTCACAACACCAGAAGAACCTTGTCTTCACAACACCCAAGAACCTTGTCCTCACAATACTCAAGATTTCAATTTCTCTGCAGGTTTTCTCACCAGGTTTTCTCACTTTTCTCTGTAGGTTTTCATACTTTTCTCTCCAAGTTTTCTCACTTTTCTCTCCAAGTTTTCTCACTTTTCTCTCCAAGTTTTCTCACTTAACCCTTAATTTTTCAGTCATTCTTGAACGGGTTTTTAACTTAGAACAAAAAAAATACCGAAAAAGTACGGACTAACATCCTTACTTTTTTAGTTATTTTTAATCGGGTTTTTCATTTTTGAAAAGTACGAAAAATAACGAAAAAGTAAGGCTAACTCCTTACATTTTCAGTTATTTAAGCAGGTTTTTAATTTTGGAAAAGTACCAAAAAATAGTGAAAAAGTAAAGACTAACACCCTTACTTCCTTAATTATTTTTAACGAGGTTTTTAATTTTTTGAAATGTACAAAAAAATAGCGACAAGTAAAGGTTAACTACTCACTTTTTCAGCCATTTAAGCAGCATTTTAATTTTGGAAAAATACCAAAAAATAGTAAAAAAGTAAAGACTAACACCCTTACTTTTTCAGTTATTTTTAACCAGGTTTTTAATATATTTTGAAACGAACAAAAAAATAGCGAA